ACATAGATGTGAATACATGTGACCGGCAGATAAATGGGCTGAATACCTAGATGCCGTCTCAATATGGAACAAGGAATAAAACCTGACCCAGTTGCCTATTCTACCGTCCCTGTCACACAACTTAAAAATAAATAAATTTCTTTTTTTAATATAGATATATATATATTTATTTATTATAATGATAGATAATAAAATTTCAAAGATCAAGTTCACATAATTTTAATTATTTTTATAACTTCAAGACAATGATAGTAAATTAAGAATATTAGCAAATATGGTATCCAGTTTTGAATTGGATAGACAATGATATTTATTTTTATAAGGTGAACCCTTTTTTGTGGAAATGATGGAGTATTAATATTATAAGTACACTGCTACATGATATAAATAGTCCTATAAAATGGTAGCAGATTAATAGTACCTTTAACAGTGCGAATTAAAATGGTACTGAATCCACTGATCACAATTGAGAATCAATGAATTGGGAATATAATTATGTACTTGTAGTGCATGTGCACCTAATTAAACTATACCAAAGTAGTGGTCCCAAATGGATGACATGGCAGGGCTAGAGTAGTTGTGTTCTTAAGGGGAAAGGAAAGTTCAGTATCACCAATCAGTGGTCTCATAAATAATGTACTATTGTGTGGTCATATTATTGAATTTAAATTATATAGGTAATAATACAATTGTGAATCGCAAAATTTTATATTTATGTGGTTGTAGCCAACAGTTGAAGCGTCTCTCTCCAATTTGTCACTCTCTCTTTATGTGTTCCTTAGGTTTGTATGACTCCATGGATCTCTACCTCAAACTTTTATATTTGTGGTCCCACATTTCCATTGGAGAAAGGGAAGCTTGTGGATGAAATTATAGATGTTAATCGCTTATCTTTTTCAACAAAGAGAAGCTTGCTTGCCTCATTGACCATTTTGATTATAAACCCCCCTCTCTCTCACATACACACTAACAACAACATAAGTGGTGACCATTTTGATTATAAACCCCCCTCTCTCTCACACACACTAACAGCAACATAAGTGGGGGAAAAAAACATAGTCGTATTTTTCACATAAAAAAAGAAACGAAAATGAAATTTTTGTAGTTAGATCAGCCAGAGAAACTTTTGATGGGCTCGAGCCAGACAGAGGAGGTCTTTTGGGCTGTGATATTTTTGCTTCCCAACGGCCCATATATTAAGGGTGTTCCAAGTCAGTTTATAGGTGTGGTCAATAAGGGCTTGAAGCCCATTAATTAAGTGAAAAAAATCGATTAATTTGAAGAGCAAAGTAAAGGGTCATCCTCTAATTCATTGCGTTCAATCTTCCAAACTTGTGCCTAAAGTGCCTGTAATCTGTCACTATCAGATGATGCAATTCCAAAAGACCTTGGTAGCCCTTCCCCCGTTAAAAAGATTGGGGTTAGATGGCAATAATTTTCTTATTCTGGTCGTGACTGTAATTTTGTTAGATGGCATACAATTTGGTTACAAATGTTGTATAGGCGAAGGATATTTAAGGAAATGGGCAGTAACAAAAATGTTTCTGTAAACTTATGTTTAGGAAGGTTTTTGCGGTCAGAATTTGGACATTTGTTAGATCAAATATAACTCTTACTCTCTCTGCAATTTTAATGTAATGGGATTCTTATTTTGTCTCATCTCTCAGGCAATCTTAAGAACCCTGTCTTATTGGCCACAACTCTGCTGTAGGGGCGCAAGTTGGTTAGGCCCAAACCAACCTGGTCCCAACCTGAACTCAAAAGGTGCCCTTGGCAGCAACCGTCGTCTCCACAAGCCACGGTTAAGTTTTGATTTGTAAATTTAGAAGCCCAAATTTTAATATTTTCGGGCTGAGTTCGAATTGGGCTGCCCAGGTTACAGCCCTACTGGGCTGTGACAATCTTCATAAATATGTTTAGGTTGAACTTTTGGATGTGTGATTAAGCATGGCATCGAAGATCTCATTAATACCTTAAAGCTTTTAGAGTACTCAAAAACTTGTGTCTAAGTGAATGAAGGGTGCACTGCATTGGTTACGACCTGGTCAAAACATTGGGAATCGTTCATGTGTTGTATTCCAAAATTTTAATTTTGTCTTGTGCATCATTGGCGTAAAAGAAAGAAGGAAATTTATTATATGCCACATGAATTGAACAAGACAAATTGTGACAATTCATTAATAGGTCCCCACTGCACTTCACTAGGGTTCAAACATGTGCACATTCCTCTTGTTTCATGGCAGCATTGAGTAGGGGGACCAGACTTTGTCGATAACTTTAGATTCATGAATAATTGTACATACTATAAAAGTTATCTAAACATGAACATTGTTATGGAAATTAGGTTCCTGTTTTTAGCATTGCATATACCTAATTCATCATCAAGCATCAACAAGTGAAGTTAGAAACTTTGATTAATAAGTAAAACATAAGTCGTTGATCTTAACCGAGTTCTGAAGTTCACATGACCTGATTAGGAAGTTCAATGTGGTTTGAGCTTTGTGTTCTTTTCACAAGAAGGCTATAAACAAATGAGGGAAAAGATGAAATATATCCATCAATTGAGTGTATAAATGTAGTAAAATGGCTTCATCGATTGGACGGTTAATAATGCTGTGAATGTTCAGACCATTGACTCCCTTGCAGGAGTGGTGCAGAGCATCATTCACAATTGAAATGAAAGATTTGATATGTCCTTTTTCATCTTAAATGAGAAATAAAGAAGCAACCTTTCACTGAAATAGTGAAATCTGCTTATGGGATAAGGATATGTAGCACAAAGATGGTTCTTGATTTATTGATGAACCATAGTATTGTAGAACCAAACCTTAAGTAGTAATGTTTGACAACACTAATCATAGTAATGTTTAGTGTTGTCAAACAAAATACTATTGTAGAACCAAACCTTAAGCAGTAATGTTTATTGGATGAAGCTCATAGTTAAAGCTTGCATAGAAGAAGTTTTGTTAGGCTTCTTTCCACCAAGGAAGAACTTATAACATTCTCTTCCATTCGAACTAGAAAAGTTCTTGTACTTGTGATCCAATCCAAAAGCCGTAGTGCCAACATCCAACTCATATATACACATTGATTTTTTCATCGGATCCGATATGGACAAGTTCTCCTTATGACACTGTCATGTTAGGCCTAGCCTTATTGTAGTAACATGACTTTTCACAGAAAAAGGAGGTGAAGGTAAACTGAAGCAACCAAAAGCAGAATGTCCATTTTGAACTGATGAGGTTAAAATAGGTTTTGCAGCCTAACTCACCCAGTGAAAAGCCTGAGCCTAAACTTTTCAACACCTCTTTTTTATTCGGAGTGGCCAAGACATGAGATGAGATTAAGTTACCTACTTCCTATGCCCAAAGCATTCATGGAAAAAGTGGGACTCTCTACATAGGTTTGGCAGTGAATTTTCTAGGTTGGGTGTATTTGATGCAGTGACCTCACGAGTTTGCATACCCAAAACTTTCTTTAGTTTTCGAACAGATTATTTATAACTTTGTTTCTGATACCCACATTCTTGGAAAAGTTTGAGACTTTCTGCTCACAGTCAAAAATCATGTAAATGCTATGTTGGCATTACTTGACCAGCATTTTGGAAAAACCTTATTTTGATTTTTAAAACAAAATTGTGTAGATTATATGATATATAATGTAATTTTTCTAATTTTTTTACAAAACATATTGCTTTGCTGTAGTTCCAATAAAGCCACTGACTACATGAATTCTATTTTCTAATCAATTTATTATTATATTTTTCCCTGAAAGGTTTATGTTAGAATGTATAGAAAATATTTTACATTGGTCAATCACATCAGGCAGTCCTTTTTTTCGGATTTGATAGCGGGCACTTTGTCCAGCTTTGAAAAATAGTATGGCATTCAGCAATTATTGAACAAGTCCACAACATCTAAAGGCGTGATACTTGTTCTTGACTTGACCTTGTTAAGATTTCGGTACTTGAAAGACTTTAAAAAGAAAGGGGAATAGAGTGAAAAAGAACATTTAAAACATGGAGTATATATTAAGCCCTCGGGACTAATAGACCATTGTTGCTGTTTGCTGTTGGTTTGATGAATGAAGCTTAGGGAAAACAATTTAGTCCCATTTTTTTAACTGGCGTTGCTGTTGGTTTGATGAATGAAGCTTAGGGAAAACAATTTAGTCCCATTTTTTTAACTGGGGTTGTCTCTAGTTTGTTATAAACTTGTAAACATTAAGCTTTTCTATACTGGTGTGGTATTTATGGAAAAAAATAGTGTCAATCAAATGAGCAATGTGTCACGGACAACTTGTTTCACGATTCAATTTAAAATTTCAAATTATTAGTGGTGTTAACACTCTCATCTTATATATATGCCAAAAACTCTCACCTTCCAAATCCGATGGAAGACAAAAATTCATGGCATGAGGCTCCCTTGTGGATCACATGGGTGACAAAATGCAATTGGCTTGGAATTAAGCTAATGGCGAGGGCGTGTGTTGCGTATCTAAGATGTTGAGGGGCTTGGGATAACATTAGAAGTCACTGAAAGGAACCTACTCTGTACTGTTCCAGAAATATAAATATAAAAGTGAAGGACAAAGAAGAGAGAGTAATCTGAGTAGCAAGCCATCTGGGACAAAATGGTTTGAAGATCAAGCATAAAAACGTGTCCCGTGGCCAAACAGTGTGTGAGTCACAGAATCATTTGGCATCAACTTTTTTATGAAATTCAACATAAAAATAATCATGATAAAGAGAACAGTTTTTAAAACTGTTTTATCTGTTGTAAATACAAAGTATGTAATCATAATAACAAAACAAAAACTGTTTTAAGTGTCTCGTGTTTTATACTATAAAGCTAATAATTTTCTGTCTTGTGTTTAGGACCTTACTCCTTAGGCAGCATAGCTTGGAAAAGTAATCCACCAGTAGGCCCTATATAATTTGCTTCACTTCTCTTCCTTTGTGGAACCCATCCCCAAAGTCTGTCTATTTAAATATCAGAGAGAGAGAGAGACTGAAGAGAGAGAGAGAGGTTGATGATGGGCAACCACAGGTTTAGGTTATCAGATATGATACCAAATGCCTGGTTTTACAAGCTGAGGGAGATGGGGAGAAACAGAAACCACAACACAAACAAAAAACATACTCCCACATCACCCAAACCAAACCAACCCCACCTTTCTCACCAAAGAAAGTCCTATTACTACACAAGGGAACTCACCACACCACCGAGTAATCTTCACACAACATTACACCACAACAATTCACCTACAAACCCAAAACCCTGTGACACCCATTTCAATGACCCACCAAGAAAAACATCCGACAAGAGAAATAGTAGTAGCACCAGGAGGAACAGATCCTCCACCAAGCCATCTCCTAGGCTTGTCACCTCCTCTGTTTCAACCAGTTGCACCTGCCAAGCCAGCCTCGACGACTCCGTCTGGACTCAGCCCGATTCGACACCCGAGGACTACCCCAATACTCCCCTTGAAAGCTCCCCTGACCTTGATTCAGTCTTGCCTGATTTTGATAGCATGGTCTCATGGTCCACCTCTGGTACCCAATGCAGAACAAACAACAATGTCAATATCACAAGAAAATCTGATGGGTTCCGAACAATTTCTGGTCTTGCACTCCCTCCAATCATAACCAAGAACCCGGCTAAATTTAACAATGCCATACAGGAAATGAAGGAGAGAGAGCCCAATGAAGTCAATGATAGAAATGCTAATGACTCTGTCTCTGTCAAGCTTGTGAAGGAACAGAGGACCAGCCCAGTTAGGAGACTCTCAGTGAATCCACCAGGAGTCAGGCTTCGTACTAATTCTCCCAGAATAGCGAACCTGAAGGCTCAGGGCCGTGGCCATGGCCGGAGGAGTGTGTCATCTTGTTCGAGCTCCAGCTCGAGCTCACGGAGGAGCCTTTCACAGAGCTTTGCGGTGGTGAAGTCGTCGAGTGACCCTCAAAAAGATTTCAGGGAATCAATGGTGGAGATGATCCTGGAGAACAACATTAGGGCACCAAAAGACTTGGAAGAGCTTCTTGCATGCTATCTCTCACTGAATTCTGATAAATATCATGACCTCATCATCAAGGTGTTCAGGCAAATCTGGTTTGATTTCAGTGACACCCAATTCAAGTAGTCTCTTCAAGAACTATGTTTATGTACCTTTGTTTTGTATCATTTTCATGATTACAAAGTTCTGTAAAAAGTTTCTAGTTTCTCTTACAGTACTAGTTGAGATTAGTCTCTTAGTATTTGTAATAGTTTCAGTTTCCTGAGATCAAAATGGAGTTACTTGTTGATTCCCAAACCTAGCATATATATATATATATATATATATTTTTTTGTTTTGCCACACCTATGGTTATGGAAGTTTGATTCACTTCGTGTAACATCACTCTATAATTAATATTCTAGGTCCAAAATTGAGTTTCTCTTCTATTAGAAGAGTAATAAGGTTAAAGCATATCTAATTCATATTTCATAATTTCCAATCGGAATATTAATTATAAAAAAATTAGTGATTGATTCTCTAAAAATTGGAATATCACAGTTTTCCTTGAGAAGTAGAAACGAAGAAAGTAATAAGTGTAATGTGACACTGCTTTTGTAAGTGAGGTTTAGTCCATGCACTGCCCTTAATGGAGGATGCTTTTTCTTGTGTTGAGGTCTCTGTCCTCTTGTAACCAGTGACACCAAAAGGGAAATTTCTTTATTTGTCTGAATTTATGTAACACCAAACTTCGGAAATAATATTCCAAATGACTTTGTATATAATAAAGACAGAGAAAAAAAGTTGACAATTTTCATTGTTTAACACTTTATTTTTTTTATTATTATTTTTTTTTCTAGTTGGGACTCACAAACACTGCCTCTACTGAGGTTTTTTTTCTTCATTATTTCACACTATCTGTGCACTGCATCTCAACATGTACTACTCTCCTATGCAACCACCAGAAGCAAGCAAAACATAGAATATAAGAAGAAGGAAAACTGCATATTTTCACTAAAACTAAGTAATCTATAACCACCAATTTGTGTGTAAGACATTGTGTCAAAAAAGCAAAAGCAATTGTTTCGAAGATTACAAAAGTTGTACAAATTTTCAGACTGATAATCGTGTATGGTGACTCTTATGGCCTCAAAATGGTCTAAAAAAGCTTTGCTAGATAGAAAGTTTTGGTAGGTGTGGTAACAAATTTCATTTTCATATGGTACTAATTAGTATAATTTAGAACTCTAGGCCTCCATTATATAATTTAAATGCTGCCAATGTCTAAAAAGCAAGGATAAATTAATAGCTGGTGTCCTTTCTTTTTGGTGACAAGGAGCTTCATGCAAACTGCCAACTGAACTGAGAAAATGTGTATATATACCAATTAGAGGATATATCTATCTCTAATGGATGTACAGAAAGTGCCCTTTATATGCTGCAAGTTTTATATGTTGAATTGTCACGACAGGTCTATTGGTGATTTGTTTTAGTAGCTATTGGCGGTTTGTTTCATTGTCAAATTAAGAAGGCCCATTAATGAATAATTTAAATTGAAGATGTTAATTAGCTTAATTGGTGAGACATTTCAGTAGCAAAACTGCAAAACCCACGTGTGCTTCAAGTCAAGTATCAAAAAGAACATAGATTTAACCTCACATGACTATCTCAACAAATCTACATTTAGATTTAACCTCCCGCCTACAACACACTTCAGTTAATTGCTTGGCTAAGGTTAGTTTAAAATTCTACTTACGATTTTAACACAATAAATTTTTATATGGGGACTACACAATTTTTATTTACATGCCATTTTGTGATTAGTGAAATTATATACTTTGGGATATGTAATAATTTTTTATATTCACACACACACACACATATATATATAATTTTTAATTTGTCTTTTTGAGCCGTCGTGATGAACAAAACTTATGTTACGTTTGGCTGCATGAATCAGCGTCTTGAATTTAGGATTAGAGAAAATTTAGTATAAAATATTAAAGAAATTTAACACTATTAAAATCTGCATGTCTTTCTAAAATATAAATAGCTACGAATGCGCCTTTAATTCCACTAATTAACGACCCCAATGATATATTGCTTCGCATCAGCCATGCTTTGTAGCACCTACTGGGTGAAAATGAAAGTTGATGCAATCTCTTTTCCTTTGTCACCACCATTCTCATCTTGAAGATTGATTTGAAATTGGAAAGATCAAAATAATGATCTGGCTACTATTGTTGACATGATATTGTCTAATGACTTTAATGTTGTACATAAAAAATAATAATAATAAAAGAAAAATGTGAATCAGTTTTATCATACCAAGAATCACTACAAATATTCCTTGAATGAGTTTAACAGAGAGAGAGAGAGAGTGACATAATTTTTTTTTTCCCAGTAAGTTATTTTTCCCTTTGAAGTTTGGAGTAAAGATGAAAGTTTAAATTACAAAATTCTCAAATAATGTAAATACTAGTTTGTAAATTTAAGAAAGATATAAAAATTCACAAATTCCAATGACAAATAGTACGTATATAATTAAGAGTACTTTATGGAGACCAATTTATTAAACTTTATAGTATTTTCCCATTGTTGGGTTGTATATATAAGGTTGGTTTGTTTGTGCATGTGCACGAGGAAAGTGACTACTCGAACCGACACAAACCGCAGAAACCGGGTTTGATTTGAAAACATTAATTTGTGAGTTACCCAAATCCACTCATCTCATTTATCTGCCCTACACTTGCAGCCACCCCTGACACCATGAAACGTTGACGTTGGGGTGCATCTATTATAAAATTACTACATATTTTACATTTATATTTTTGTGCTGTTTAGCTAGTAGCTCTTAAAGCTAGAGTCTTCGTGTCAATTTTTTTCTTAAAAATCTTACTGAAAAGGAAATAAGATATGAAGATAATATGTTAATTTTGGACGGTATAGAAGACAAATGAATCAATGATATATATGTAGTGATTCTGTTTGATCTTCTGTTTATTTGTTTTGTGACCCTCGTACCACACGCGTCAAAGTTTTACCACATATAAGCCTTCTTGATACTTGATATGGCACTCAAAACTTTTTGAATGCAATACTACTATTTGGCATTCAATTTAAAGTGAGAAAGAATCTATTATCATGAAAATTCATTGCATAATTAAACTTATAGAATGATCATTTCATTAAGCTTTTTTCAAAAACTCTTATGTTTCAAAAATTAATCATTATCATCACCACTACCACTATTGTCTTTCGTTATCACCACTGTCTTCTACCACCACCACGGTTATCGCCTTCCATCGCCATCGCTGCCACAGCCACAGCCACAGCCTAACAAAGCCACCGCCACAGCCTAGCACAACCATCACCACCGTCACCTCCAATGCCTTCTACCATCAATGCCACCACCGATTGTCACCATCGCCACCGCCTTCCACTGTAACGACCCAAATATATTGGATCCGGATCATTAAACGGGTCCTTACCCGACCCAAAATCATCTAAGGGTAAAACGGTCCTTTTACATTAAATTTATATTTTTAAGTCCAACAAGGACAAGATAGTCATTTGTCACAATTCTAATGGTATGAGACTCCAAGGGTATAATAGTCATTTACTCGTGTCACATAATAAATAGGGTAAGGTCCGGGGCAATATAGTTTTTTCTGTGGTTAAAATATAAGTATTGTATTTTATTGGGTCATAATGTAATTATAATTGGGGAAACTAAATAAAAAAATGTGTGAAACAGGAACCGATCGACGTGTGGGAAACTATACATTAACTGGTTAGTGACGTGTACAGTGGAAAAGGTCACTGCCAAGATACTGGTCGACGTACAGGAGGCTACACGTCGACTGGTTAAAGACGTGTATAGTGGAAATGTTCACTGTCAAGATACTGGTTGACGTATGGAATGTTACACGTCGACTGGTTCAGGTCATTCGATCGACGTATGGCATTTCACATCGACTGGTTTTGGGTTATCCACAGTCAATTGTCACTGTCCAAAGAAAACCGAGATACACCCACTTTGATAACCAACCACCCATACCACTACACTCACATACATGTTTAAATACATTTTAACCCCTAATACAATAACAACAACCACATTGTTAACATAATTTACCATAGGTTACTTAAAACACACTAAAGGATTTAGTGTGATTAAAAGTTAATTACATTTCCCGAATGGCCATACACCAAAATGAATCTAAATATATTACAAATTGTAAAATATACACTTTGAGTCAACATTATACAAAATTAAGCCTAAATACAAAAGATAGCAATAAGATAAATTTTTCTACTCCAAGCTAAGGCCGGGGTGAATTGTCATCCGCTACTTCTTTTTTGTGTCCTGAAAAGTGTTAGACATAAAAAGGGGTGAGCAAAATTGCTTAGTAAGTAGTACCTAAGACACACCTCTTGTGATCACGTGAATCCAAACAGTGAATAAAACAATAGAGTGCGGGGTCATACTAAGTCGGGGAAAATATAATATCAATTCCAAATTCAAAACAAACAATTACCATGCCATAAATGCAATGCCATGTATGTCACTCCCCATTTTCAGAAAACATCCATCACTTCACAAACTGTTAATATAACCCGTTTTTGGTGACTCCGCAGCGACACGAAAGAAGGATTGGCCACTGTCCCTGACCCTTGGTACCCCCGCGGCATCATTTGGGACCCAGATAGCTCAACCACGCTAGGGCGATCTCCCTAATTCCCTCTAGGTTACATTAACACACCGGCCCGTTAGTGACTCAGCGGCAACCGGGTTTTCTCAAAATCACTTTAACCAAAACATTTCCTCAAAAATCACATTTTCATTTATTCTAAATCATTTTCCTCCATTCATGCCCCTTGGTATGCATGTATGTCTCATGCTTTCAATGTTATGGCAATAAGGGATTTTATACAACACAGATAAGCATGTTTTTACAAGAATTCTAAGAAATTTACACATGCTTTCATATGCCACTTCTAACAAGTTTACAACATAGTAAGCATAGAAAAATCAACACTTAGACAAAGAAATTAACACATAAGCATGTTTTTCATATAATTCAATTAACACATATGATCATAAACTTCATTTACAACATTTACATCATCTTCAAGACAATTAACTCAAAATTAAACATGTTTTACAACAATTAATGAGAGATAACTCACAAAGGAATAAGAAAAACATGAATTAGGAACCCCTATCTCAAGCTAGATGAAAATCTCCAATTTATACCCTAGATTTCGAAAATCTTAGGATGCACCAAAGCTGAAATTGCTTACGTCAATTCGAAAATCTCGCTGCGCTTTCCCTTTTGCCGCAAACGGCACCCAAAAATACCAAGTATTGCAAGAGAAATCAAGATTGGAAGTTTGGAACCCAAAAGAAAGAAAAAAGAAACATCTAGAATGGGGGAGAAAGAGTCCAGCGGAAGTAAGAGGAAAATGGGAAAGAAATGAGACCAAAAATGTCTCTTTGTCTCTCATAAAACACTAATGTGGGCCCCACCAATTTTTCCTTTTTATTTTCCCTTTTCTTTTGTTTTCAATTTATACCACATACACACATAAATACACATTTAATTCACAATTACTTAGAACACATTAAATAAAATAAATATGATGCAAATAGATCCAACTAAAGCCCCCGTATTCGACAATTCCGGTAATGGATCCCACACGGGACCGTCCGGCCTGAAAAGCTGAAAAATGCAAAAATGATCACCCTAACATTTCAAAGAATTCTGGACTCAATGAAATGCCCTAAACAACTCTCGGACACAACCGGCACACTCCACAGTGTCCGGTACGCAAAACGGCAAAAGACGAGAATGCCCTTACAACTACAAAATTTCAAAAAAATTGGAAAATGGTAAAATTCAGAAATATCACATCCACCACCACAACCTTCCACAACCACCATCACCACCGCAGTCACCTCCACTGCCTTCCACCATCGCCACCTCCACCACCACTGCTGCCTCCTACTCTCACCACTGCCACTGCCTTCCTCCACCACCACCGCCGCCATCGCCACCTCCGCTGCCTTCCACCACCACCATTGTCACCTCCACTGCCTTCCACCACCACCATTGTCACCTCCACTGCTTTCCACTACCTCCACCTGCACCACTATTATCACCTAAACTAATGCTTCCATCATCGCCACTACCACTGTCGCCGCCTTCCTCCTCCACCACCATTGTCATCACCATCTCCTTCCACCACCACACTACTACATGCCATTGCCTTTGCCTTCCACTATTATCACCTAAACTAATGCTTCCATCATCGCCACTACCACTGTCGCCGCCTTCCTCCTCCACCACCATTGTCATCACCATCCACCACTGCTATCATTTCTTTAAAAATATATATATATAGAAGAATGTTATTTTGTTAATTTAATTTATTTGTTAGTAAAGAGGTATTTTAGATAACTCAATTTAAAATTTATTACATTCTAAATTTTATATTGATCCAAACGGACACTAGAATAGTTATTATCATTTCATTCCTATACATTTCATATTTGTAACCAAACGATAGAATGAAAATGATCATTCTATTTTATTCTATTTTTGTATACCAAACACAACGTTACATTTTCAAGTAAATAGTTATTTCGGTAAAAAAAAAAAAAAAAAAAAAAAAAAAAAAAAAAAAAAAAAAAGTGGGGGAGATAATAGTAGCTGTTGCCTTTTCAAACTGTTTTATTTTTATTTTTTATGTACAATAAGGTAACGTGTACAAAAGTAGATGGGCTTTTAAGTAGAATAAAAATTGAACAAATTATCGTTAGTACTATAACTGATTGCTTGTTAGAACTTAGAAGTCAACTGTGAGATTCTGATTATACTCCCATTATTTGATTAACATGATGATATAAACAATAAAAAGAAATGATCAGAGACAAGAAGAAATGACTTTTTTGACAACTACCACTAATTATTTTCTTAATTTTTATCACAAGTCAAATTGCAGATTATGAAACTATATATATTGTATATTGCGAAAGATCACTTTGTGAAGCAACCCATGTTTTGTCTAGGGCATGATTAATTTTCATGGTAGACTTTCTGCAAAGTGGATAGATGTTTCCACACATGATCGATCGAGACAACAGGTGTGGTTTAGCACAATCTCATGGTTATTATTCGCTCTCATCAGATAAGGTACCCTTTTTTCTGTCATGTTAGACTAAAAAATCTCGGCTATTTGTCATTAGATCTGTGAGGGGCCTCCAAATGTGACATCTTAACAAACAGATCTACCTTCTATGTCCAAAGCTAAACCAACTGGCATTTTTAGTCTTATATAGTGGTTGCGTAAATGAAAATGTTTTACCCATTTTCACTAAATCACACTTTGTTTAGCCTTTATATTCATGTTAAGGGAGGTTTCAGTATCAATAATTCACCCACTTCAAACTCTAGTAGATATTGGGTGCACCCGACATACATGCCCACTCAATAAAAATACACTATTTAATAAACAAAAAAAAATCATATGTTGTCATACACGGCATTTTTCCTTTACAAAATTAGAATGTTTTGTAAGCTGCCACCTCAATGCTTCAATGTGTTCTTTATATTTTAGGAATTTTTAATTTTCCATTGTTCACGCACCCACTTTTCTTATTTGAAAATTCGAATATTCACTATTCATTTTAAGAGGTAGATAATATACCACTAAATTACAAGTCTTTTTTTTACTAGACAAAAAGTGTTAAAAGTTAAATTAGTAGATACAAAGAGTTAAAGACTGGTACTTCAAAATTCACCAGAGATACTAATGTACTAGACTATTGAAGCATCTGCATATATAAGTAATAGTAACTTGTGTTCTTTACTATGAAACACGGACACGAATACGGGTACGACACGACACAATAAATTAAAAAAAATAGGACACAAACACGGTGAAAATACTCCTATAAAATTATATATATATATATTCAAAATCCACAATATCATAAATCTAACCTCTCAAAAAAATACTGCAATAAAAAAAATACTTTAATTAATTAAGAACAAAACAAAGTTATAATAACTTTACAGTTTACATTTTATACACATTCACAAATATAATTGTTCTGATTTCTCTCAATTTTTCGTACTACGGTTTAAAAGTTTATTTAATTCCATCACTGAGATGAATGAATCAAATACAAAAATAAACATAATAGAATCATAAAATTTAATAAAAGTAAAAGTTCATAATACAAAAGAGTCAAAATAGTTAAACTTCTAAAATTACATTAGGTACCCTTTTTTTTAAAAAAAAAAATTCAAAAAATATACCCCATTGTGCTCGGTGCTTGTCCTCTATGTGTTCCAACCATGTCCAATAAAAAATAATTTTTGGATAATTCACAAAAGTGTCGAATACGTATCCGAGCTTCGAATACAAGACCCCTGATAAGAGTGTCCCTACTTCATAGGTTCTTTATCATTCCAATTTAAATTAATAACATCTTTTTTAAAAAAAAATATGAATCAATAATATAATTATTGAATACATATTCTGTGATTTCAATCTAGAATTCTCAACTTTGAATAGAGGAAAAGATAACACCTTAGTTAAAGGATCATTCCCTTTAATTGGGATTCTTGAAAATAAAAAGTTTCAGTATTTAAAAAAAAAAATTTTTTTTGGAAACGAAATCAATTTTTATTTTAGAAAGAGACAGATGGGTTAGAGGAGTGAGTAAAAAACGAAAAGGGCGTGAAAGAAAAAAAATAAAATAAAATAAAAAACAAATTGCAAGTTGAGCAGCACAGCGTTGGCGTTACCAGAGCTTAACAAAAAGGGCTTCTGGGTAATCGCAGGCCTTTTTCTTCCTTCTGAATCTCCAATCTTCTCCAACTCTTGCAGTAATCTTTCGAAGTTTGATCAGGTATCTCTCTACTTTCTCTCTCTAGATCAGATTTCATTATTTCTCTCTCTTATTTGTTCTACATTACTCTGATTAGGATTACGTCCGGTGATATTTGTGTGAAAAATCGGCCATTGAATGTCTGAAGGTGAACCATCATCTGCTACGTTTCAGGTGCGTTTCGAAACGATGGTTTGCCCTAATTGACTCACCTATGTTCTTTGATTTCCACCTGTCACTTGAAAGCTGAAACCAGCACTAATTTGAGTCTGATTTTTGGAGATGATAAAATATATTCCGTTGACTTAGATAGGTTTGCTTGATGGTGTCTTGAGTCTGAATTTATTGACATTTTTCTAAGGTTGCGTTTGGGAACACCGAATAGGCGAATCAGCGCTTTGGATTTGGAACTAAATTAAATTCAGTTAATACATTGAATTAAAAAAAAATCAATTCCAAAATCAAGTTTCCGATTTGGTGCTCCCAAACATAGCATAATTGTTGTTCCTGTTGATCAAGATGTCTGCTTTTGTGTTTGTTGCTAATTTTCTTGCTTAAACAATGGATTTTCATTAAAGGCTGTTATTTGATCACGGATTGGTTGTATTTGATTGACGACTCATGCTTTTGTGATATCAAGTGAGTCATATTTCTTACTCTTTGCAATCAATGCTCATAAAAATTGTGTTTAACTTGACCTTCTTATGTAGAAGATTAGATCTTATTCATAGTCATATGCTAATGGTTGACAATACAATGTTTCTGTTATGCTGATGGATTGTGATATAAATATATATTCCATTTTAATATATATATATGTAAGACAATTGCATCTTGAGTCCAAAACATAAACATGAGAGTACCGGCCTGTTGTCTTCATTCCTAAGCATGATTAGCACTTCTCGTACTATTTTAATCATCATTTTTTCAAAATTTCAAAACCTAATGAAAACTCAACTTTAGGTCAAAATAGTCTACTCTAATCTTAATTTTTTTTTTAATTGCATTTAGCATGATTTTATAGTGATTTTATTACTAATGTGGAATTGGTAGAGTACTTGACAGTTTTTCTTGTAAGACATCAGCTAAAAATTAATTGTTAGATGTCCCGCTCCTAAGTAAAAAGTGAATATTCTACAAATGGCGGTAATTTATTAAATTCAATTGACTAAGTAATAGCTTTTTGTAAGTTAATTATTATCCAATCACACTGATCACTAGCACCATAATAAACTATAACTTCTGTTACGATTTTTTTTGCCAAGAACACAAGTACAATAACTAGTTCTACAACAAACTATGTTCCATAGACACAAACTCGTGGCTAAAAGCAATTCTTTTGCCACCTAAGTACATATTCATTTCTTAAATGTGGTTCTTCTATTTCAACATGAACACAAACTCATGGCTAAAACTGGTCTTTCGCCTTGAAACCACATATTCAATTGTTGTCCACACTTACTAGTTATAAAAACAACCTTAACAAAGGTTCATGGTACATGCAATCACACACAAGTTATATACTCATGAGCTCAAAGGTTCATGGTACATGGAATCACACACAAGTAATATAATCATGAGCTCAAAGGTTCATGGGATTTAAAATTCACATCACGATTCAAATCCTTGCTTTTGCACCATTTCTAGGAGAGCTCCCCAGAAAATCTCCCAGCTTCTGGTATCCAATGTTCTCAACAGCGCCCACGGTCTTAAAAAAGCATCTTTTCTTTATCTCCTCCACCAGAGACCGGTGCAACAACTGGCTACGTACATCGACGAGTGAACCGATACGAGTCAACTTTCGTGGATGATTTGAGTTGTATGCTTTCTGAGTATTAAGCAAACCACATTGGTTATTGCAATTCTTCCGCACTTTTTCCTCAGGACAAAACCTTGTGGGTATCTTTGCTGTAAAGTGTGGCTCTACTCCTTGGGAACAAAATTCACAGACATTGTCATTGCATGAGCAATAATTTAAGTTGGAGAACTTGTAGGAGTTTAATGAGCTTTGAGAACTTGTATCATCACTAATGAGCAAATCTTCTGCATCAATAAGATCATAATGCTAAAATATGGACAGCAGAAATCAAATTAAAGAGTACTATTCAAACCAAGTCACTGACTAGTCCAGTGAGTAATGTACTTAGGTATGTTAAATTCCAAAGATTGCCTGAAGTGATCAAAATAGGTACATACCTTGAAACCAGTCATGTCCTGAAGTCGTCACATTGTTTCCATGACGAATCTCTGTTTTCTCACAAGATGGGTAGAAACCTGGGAGGGAAGCTTGGGAGGAAGAATGGGAGGAGAGAGAGTAAAAAGGGTGATGGGTTCTATCGTCATCATCTTCATCATCAATATAGTTGAAGCTATGTTGATGTTCATTTTGAGGTGAGTCCCAATCCTTCCAGGTTGGAACCAGAGTAGAAATCTCCTCAGTAATCATCTCGGCAATCTCAGATGGTTTCCAATCAGCGATTTCCAATTCCTTCACCATTTCCATCGCAACATCAATGGCAGTGTCGCTCACAATGTCAAAGGGAAAGTAAACATTTCTAGTTTGACCTACATTATATAGATCATAGTTGTCAGTTTAGAAATATAATAAAAAACAAATACAACATGGGGAAAGGAACCAATTAACCTAATTGTAGTTTATATGTAACTTTCTACTCTATCAAGTCAATTAATTACTTTTTAATTGTTGCGTCCTTTTCCTTCTTGTGTGTAATTGATTTACGAGCTTGTATATATAAATATTTATATATAATTTTGTATGCATAAAAATGTGTGTACATTTAGTCTATATAGTAAATATATAGCATATTATGATAAAGAGAGGTTCTAGGCAGTACCATCCTTGTTTGAGATCTGCACTTTGAGAAATATAGTATCATCTTCTGGATTTCTGGTCCCCGTTATCGTCATGTTTGTGCTCCTTGTAACTGAATCATGCATCAACGGTTGCTTAGGAACCTCCATTCCTTTTGGAGCTGAACTTTCAGTTGGAATTTTGGGGATGATTGGCAATGGCTCTTCATCAATATCAGAAGCAAGAAATGGGTCCATCAAGAGGTCAAGAGCTGATGGCCTCTTCGAAGCAGTCTGTAAGCACTTCCCCACAAACTGCTGGGCTTCAACATCTTGAATCCGGTAAAAGGCTTCTGGAAGCTTTCCCTGGTGGGTCAGAATGAAGGCAGGATGTGGGTCAGATTCTGATTGTGATATGGAAAAACAGAGTGCCAAAGGCAAGGCTAGCTTACCGAAGTTACTTTCTTGTATATTTGAGCAGGGTTAGAGCATTCGCCATATGGGTACTCAGAAGTGAGCATCTCTAGCATACACATGCCAAAGGAGTATATGTCTACCAGCTCATCGTACTCCTCTTCGTATAATTCTGGTGCCATGAATTCTGGTGTACCTGATGGTTCGTTTTAAATTAGTTTTCGTCAAATTCCAATTTTAAGACACCGATTCCATGTTACCAATTCAATGCCGTGTAAACACAACACAATTTTTTTCCTACATGCAATGTGATCTATGGAGGAACACAAATAGTAAGAGAGAGATGATTACCTATGACACTGTGGGCATGGTGCGAGACACCACGGAGAATGGCTGCTAGGCCTAGATCGCCAATCTTGACTTGTCCAAGATGGCCATTGACGAAGATGTTATCGCACTTGAGGTCTCTGTGTATCACTGGCGGATCATGTTCATGCAGATAAGCAAGACCTCGTAGGATTTGGCGACCCCAATTCTTAACTGCTCCAATATGAACTCTCTTGTACTTGTCTCTGTACCTGAATGAATATATATACATACAATCATAATGAACACCAGCCAACTCAATTTTTCACACACACATATATTGATTAATACACAAGCATGAACAATGTCCTAGATTAAATTGATTAAGAAATTTCCCAAGAGTAGACAATTTGAGAAATGATGATTACTCTCTAAGGGTGCCAGAAGTGAACAATTCAGTGATGAAGTTGAAAGTAAAGCGATCAACGTCGATCCAAGAAGCGTAGTATTGAATGATGGAGTCATCGTTGAGGTTCTTGAGGAGATGGACCTCGGAGTATAGGCGTTGCAATTCATCCGGTGATCGGAAGACATCGTTTAGTTTCACTTGGTTCCAGGCCACCTCCATTCCAAGGACCATATCAAATGCCTTGTACACGGTCTTCATTGCCCCTTTGCCAAGAACCTCTTTAAACTGCCATAAGAATTATTAATTAATGGGATGTCCCGCAAGTATATGAATAAGTGTAGCCACCTTATCGATCAATAAGGGCATGGATGATGCAGAAATTAGTGTCTATATATATAATCCTGTTTCCCTGTTGATTATTATTATTATTATTATTATATTTTTCGGTAAATCCAAATTCCTAATAATCTTAAACATGGTTCAAAATTTTATTCAAGAATTCGCTGTTGATATTATAGAACAATTTAATTAAATTTCAGTTTTCTTTCTTTGTGATACACGCGTAATTAAATGCATATATATAGTATAGTATGAGTTGGCGGAGGAAAAATAGTTTCGTACATCATCTATTGGGATATATGAAAAAAAGGATGAAACTCATTATTGATAATCTGCTAGCTAGCTGTATTATTCTGTACACATATTTGATACAACCTTGGAGAACAATTATAGAGTTCATTAAGGAAAACAGAATATGCATTTTAATTTATAAAACCTCGATCAATACCAACTTCCTGTGCATTTTAACAGAAGGAATGAAGAAAGAGACTTATTTTTTTATTACGTAAATGCGTAAGGTATTATTTATTTATTAATATTGTTAGTTGATCAAATTTCATTTGAAAATTTAGAGTCAACTTCTAGACAAACTCACAGAAAACAGTCAAGGGTATCCATGTGTTGCAACTGCTTCAAAGATTTAGTGGCTTCTTGGTAGGTAGAAAATGTTTAAAATGCAATAATGGCTTCTATATTGACCACTAGCAGTATACACACAATTTATTAATAAATGCCAAAGATTTGTTTAGTAGTCAATTTGCCTCGACATTAATTTACCCTTTCAGACGAAAAAATTGTATGAGGTAGGAACCAATTTTTGCCGGTGTTTTGGATTTAGAAATAGAAAAAAATTAGTTCAAATTTTTTACTTAAATTTCATTTAATTCCAAATTTAAGGTGCAAATTCAATACTCCCAAACATAATTTTGAATTTCTAAAAAATTGAACTAACGTATACAAGAAATAATTTCTTTAAATTTCTCTAAAGCAACGAGGACATGAAGTGAATCATCATCATCATAAGCAAATGCTCTAATTCAAAGGTTATTTTACTCAAAAAGACCATTAAAAACCATTCCCATTTTTTTTTTCCCCCTTTAATTTGGAAAAGACATTAGATTATAAAAAATCATCTAATAATTACATTATTTATTCTAAGATGGCAACTACATATATATATATATATATATATATATATATGTATATTTATATATAGATATTAATTACGTATTTAACTTAAATCTGAACAATTAATCATATATAATATAATATGCCTTATTCGATCAAGTAGAAATATTGTAACTTAAAAATCAGAAACTTACACGACCATATCTGCCCGATGAATCCATTTCAATGTATCCCATCTGTGCCGGCATTGCTCTGTCAACAGATTCTACTGGCCGCGTTCTGTACATGGCAAGCACCCCAAACCCAACTCTTTTCAAACCCAGGGTCGTATTCCAAGCTAACTAGCAAACTTACTTATTTATCAATACTAGGATATATATATATAATTTGAAGTCTCTCTCTCTATATATATATACAAACACACTACAGTATATGTTTATATCTTGTTTGTTTTTGTGCAGGAGATGGAGATGGAGATGGAGATGGAGGTGTTACTGCTAGATGATCCGAGGCTTTCCTTCGTGATTTTCATATGAGAAAACACCAAACAATAGCCAGAAAAGCCTTGAGTAATCAATCCTCAGCATAATCCAACCCATTTCCAGAACCTCACCTGAAAAATGGTAGTCCTGATAAACCATTTGCTCCCAAAGAAGACGGTAGAGAAAAAATGATATATATATATGTAGATATTTTTTGGAGATAAGATGGATTTGGACTGTTTGCGAGACGTGTGTATAGTAAGTAAGAAGAGGGAGGAATATATCTTTCTTGTCTTAATTTGTTGGTATGTAATCTTTAGAGAGTGGGAGTATCTTGTGGAGGTGGTTTTGTTTCAAAAAGGTTCAGAAATTGAAATGATCATGAGTGGGGCTTTGGCATGATTTTACTTGGCTTCTGAATTTGAAGAATCTGTGGCCTCGTTTTGGTAGTACCATTTGTGGTTGTAAGAGATAGATAGATAGACTTGTCCAAAAATATGAGATTTAGAGAGAGAAATATATAGAGAGAGAGAATCTAAATGGATATGTTTGGGAGCGAGGAAAGGTATTAGCTAGTGCAAGCAAAATGGTTGAGAGGTGATGGTGGTGAAGAGACATATATATATATATATATGTGTGTGTGTGTGTGTGTGTGTGTGTGTATAACAAACTATAAGACACAAAACGTCCCTTTTAGCTAGGTCCCCCATATAACAGAGCTAGCTGACGCGTTTTGACGGAGTCTTTTTGCATTATTGTGAGGACGTTTACTTTATTTCTAAGGTTATATATGTGTTACATATATCATATACTCACTTTTAATCACACAACTAAAAAACAACAAAATATATGTGTACATACATATATATATATATAGAGTAAATTATATTAATTTTTCTTAAAATTTTGTTAATTTATACTAACATCCTTTCTTAAAATTTGTATGTAAATTTCACGTGCTAAACAATCAACATGATCAACGACGAAAAATGTTGATGTGAATGATTTTGTAACTTCCAAATAATAATTTTATCCTTGAAAACTATGTTTATTGTAATAAAATATAATATATATATATATATATATATATATATATAAGTATAAAAACGTAATTACAAACTCGTCAAATCTGACATGAAAAACAAAAAAGGAGGTACTGTATATGAATCATGTATCAGGAGGTGGATGCTTCTATGGTCGAGGAAGCATATTTAGGTTGACGTGTATGCAAGGTGGTCCACAGGTGGAGCTGGTGTTGCACATTGTATGGCAGCAGAAGGCTATGAAATGGGGTATTTGCAATAAGTTTGTCTCCAAATTATGGATACCTGTCTATGTCTATCTACTGTTACCTCCGTCCCAAAAAAAAATATCGTATTTCGAAAACGTAACAGTTCAATTTATAAGAGTCACGATGTCTTAAAAGTGACACATTTTGTGGGACGGAGATAATATATGCAAGTTCCAAGATATATTATCCACTTCAAAGACAAATGGAATTAGTGATTAATATCTTCTTTCCTTTTCAGCATGTCATATGGGCCAAACCACAACTAATTGCTTGCTAAGACCATTTTTAATGTAAACTGTCATTTTTACATGTCAAATTTATATTTTGAGAGGAGTTACAGTGTCAAAATGTTATATTTTAGCAACTCTGTTCCAATGGTACATTTCATCCAAAATGCTATTTTTTGACATAACAACCATTTTTTTCCAACTATCATTCTCATCTACCATTTTCAACTACAAATTTTTTTTTTTTTTTTTTTTTTTTGAACGTTTGTATTTTATTTAGCTTATTTGCTTGATTAAAAATTTAAAAAAAAAAAAAAATTAATTATCAAATCTAATGTAAAAGATAAGAATATAAATTATATAAAAATAAATGGGTAAACTTGTCATTTACATAACAAGCAAACCCTATCAAAACATAGGGCAAATCATTTCAGCCTCCCCATTCGCCCCTACAAAATCTACAAGAATCAAAAGCTCTTTTTGCAACTGTTAACTTGTATGTATGGGTTTTGTTTTAATCTTTTTTCTAAATCAACGTCTGTAATTCTTGTTTTGCAAACTATTTCCTATTTGGTGAAATTTTTATGATCTTTTTAAAATAAATAAATAAATAAATAAATAAATATATATATATATATATATATTTACAATATAAAGTGTGTGTGTGTATATATATATATATATATCTGTAACCCCTCGTTCTAATTTTTTTTCTAAATCAACTAATTAAGGTCTGTAATTCTTGTTTTGCAAACTAAATCCTATTTGGTGAAATTTTTATGATCTTTTTTAAATATATATATTTACAATATAAAATGTGTATATACTCCCCCCTCCTCCCCCTCTCTCTGTATTCAGTCGTTCTCTTCTATTTTTGAAATAGCAGTAGCTATTTGTTGTGACACATTTGGCATCAGATTTAGCAAGGTTAAAATTGGCAGCCCATATAACACACCATTAGACAGCCCATTTTAAGCCCACCTGTTATATTTTAAAAATGACAGCCCATATAACACACCATTGGAGTTGCTCTTACAGTCTTACATTTAAAAGATAAACACAAGTGTGTATTTGTTTTTATTTTCTCATACCAGTTTTAAGTTTTTTGTTTTAATATTTCAAAAATAGCTTTTGATTGACCATATTGTTAGAAGTTAGAACGATATTGCTAAAAAATATTATCGCTCAGTTTTAGAGAATACTGTTTCTAATCTCTAAAAATAATTTACTTATTTGTTATTTTTTAAAAATTATTTTTAGATGATAATGAAAACAATAATAAAACGTGAACTCTCAAGATGAGATACCATCTCCACTCTTTCGCTTAGTTTATTAATTGCTTGAATAATCTTTTAATAATTCAATTATTGAAAGATGATGACAAACTAGAGGGAAACTAAAAAATAAAAGAATTAAGAGGAAGAAGAACAAGGACGACAAGTACTCCTCATGGACCATATCATACTACAAATAGACAGGTGGATTGAGTTTTGGCCACATTCACGAGTCTAACTGTAATCCATGTATGTCAGGCAACACTATTTTATTATATAGTATGGTAATGGTGGGTGTCCGGATAATTTAAGCGCACCTCGAGTAATTACAAGAAGCTTTGAATTTAAGGAACGAGTAAACCTCTACTGACTCTGCGAAAATTCGAATCGGTGATCATTAGGATGTAAATTCAAAACTTGACTAACTGAACTAATCCACACGGTTCACGCAACACTATTTTTAATACTTTAATTCTATATATTTAAATTATGTATCACTTTCCTAACTACTAATTATACTTTTTATAAATCATTTTTAAAATGAAATTAATTGAATCATATAAAACCAAATAGTTGAGCTCTCAAAGTCTCCCCAACTCTCTAGGTCTCCATATATATATATACATGTGTATAAAAAATATATATCTAATCTAAAATATTATCATTCAAGAGGCCTGTCAAAATAGAGTATAGTTCCCACCAATCATAAAATGTCACAATGTGGATACCGTCAAGGGTCATTTTGCGCACCAATAATAATGGTATACTAAAGTTTTAAGAGTTATATATATATATATATATATATATAATACGTAGAGGTAAATTAGTCCTTCTCTCGTGGATCTTTTTTTAAATGTGTTTACTGCTTTTCTGAAATTTTTTATGTTGACTAAAATCATCAATGAAATTCTTATTCTTTCTTTATGTTATTAATCGCTTAAATTAATTCCTTAATTTTTTTTTTTTTTTTTAGTTTAATTGTAAGAATTCCGATTTGAGAGTGTGGACCTTTGAAATTTGATAGAGATTTTGGTTGAGAAACTGATATGATTTCCTCTCACATAATTAATCATACCGGCCTAAATTCAATTTCATAATCATAAGTAAGAGCATAATTCACATGGATAGTCAACCCTCCATTTATTAATAAATTATGTATTAATTGCATGTAACAGTATAATTTTGTGAATGCATTTATAATAATTAATTATAAGTCTCATTAACAATATATTAAGATTATCCATACCGTCCTTTTGGTGACAAAAGACATGAACGTTTTTAATTGAAGTATGGATTAAAAAAGTTATTAAATTACTTATTTGTTGTTTTCCAAAACTCAACATTTGTCTCAATTCCAACTACTAAAAAGAATTGTGATTCTCAATAATTAAGATGAAAATTTTCAAAAAAAAATATTTAAGGTGGGTTACATTAGTACCGTACTAGAACCGCGCTTTATATAGCACTTCCCTAGTAATAAATGAAAGAAAGATACAAAAGGGCTGTGGCCGGCGAAAAATTTTCATACGGTAGTTTATGCATTAGTGTAGAACTTTTTTATACGTTTTACAAAAAAATTAATATTTAATTTTTGAACAAATAAGAATTTGAATGTTAAAAAAAGTATAATTTGCTTAATTTGTAATTATAAAAATAATTATCAAGAATTCAAATGATAGAAAATTGTTCTCAGAGAGCAATCTTTTATAGTTCTCTAAAAATAAATATTTTTATAATTGAATTTTCTAAAAACTTAACAAAGCAGAAATTTTACTAAGTTCTGTTTCAGTTTTCTAAGAATAAAAAATTATTTTCATAATTACAAACCAAGCCAACCTTAAAGTGTCCTTCTATAACTGAATAAAAAAAAAGTAAAAAAATAATTAAATATAAAATGACTAAAGTGTCCCTTTTTCTTTTTCTTCTTTGTTTTTTTTTTTTCTTCTGATCTATAAGAACATTATTGAAAGACAAAATGGTACTTTCAAAATTTTATATTTCAAAAATATTATGTGCAATGCACAAAGGGATGGCAACAGGAGCGGTTTTGGACAAGTGTACCGTCCCCCACCCTGTAATACCCCTAATTTTAAAAGGATAGTCTCAGTATTTTTTTATTTATTTTTATTGTATTTTTTAAATTGTTTAATTGATTATTTGACTAATTGTTTATGTGTTTAATTGAATTAAGTGTTACTTCAATAATTGACTACTTATCTATGTGTTATTTGTATTTTGTCTAGGTATTATTTGTATTATTTGTTTAATTAGATTGTGTGCTTAAATGATGTATTTGATTAATTGTAATTAATTGTAAATTAAATGATTAAATGTTTTATTTTATTTTATTTTATGGTTATGGTTAGTGATAATGGGCTAACTAATTGGGTCCCATGAACTACTTGGATAGGAGGTTGGATGGGTATGGACAATTACCCATGGATAGTTGTATATGTATATATATAGATATATATGTATATACATATATATAAAAAGGAAAATAATTTATTAATATTATAGTAACTTTAGTATTAATAAATAATCTGATGTATATATTTTATATATTTATATAAAAAGGATATACATATATTTTATATGTAACATGTTTTAAGTTACCTTTTTAATATTATGGTAACTTTAGTATAAATAAATAATCTGATGTATATATTTTATTTATTTAATGAGGATACAGATAGATTATATACGTAACATATTTTAAGTTACCTTTTAATATTATGGTAACTTTAGTATTAATAAATAATCTAATGTATATATTTTATTTAATTAATAAGGAT